TTTTGTTTATGCTGCAATTTGTGTCTATTTCATATTTCCTATTTGGGACCCGATGTACCTTTGGGTCAGCAGTCTCATACTTTGTGAAGCGTTTAGTTCTCGAACGTGTTCTCAGATTCTTTTACACTCCTTTCATCCCACCATTTATGGATACTTAATCAATGGGCGATCATCAGTACACTATTACTGCAACGGGAAAAGGGTTTGATCATGGTAGCAGTAGTAGCTGTAGGAATTAACTAACTTTTCCAACCCAAAATCTTCTAGCTGCGTTATTTGCCCAAAGAAATGTAACTTTTCCCGTAATCAAACTAATAATGGCTTTTCATTAAATGGAAGATAAACATTTACCGCCTTGTTTGGACAATAACAACTAGGGGTGTTGCAATTAAATCAATAGGGGGTTTTTTTGGTGCCTTTTTTGACATCGAAATGCAGTAATCACATTGTTGGTGTGGTGTAAATGGATGGATTGACTTGAGAGCCGTGTTTATGTCACACCGGTTCTGAATGCGCTTTTAGGCTCAAAAGCGGAGGCGGGGTATTTGTGCATCAGGACGCGGTGCTGGTTTTAAGGAGTTCGGGGGCGAAGGGGCGGGGGAATGAAGGGAGTGGTGGCGGTAGTGACAACCTCGTGCATGCGCGTATCCCTTCTCTCGCATCCGCTGCCGTCAAAGCCCGGAGACGCTGCCCGTGCGTGATGTAAATAGCAGTGGCTGTGTGTATGCGTACACGAGAACGCCTGTGGGGGTATTTGAGATTCCGCATGTGCTAGTTCTGTGGTTATTCACTTCCTGTCCTTGATGCTGTTGTTCTGTGCGAGTTATGGTCTCGGGTATTGATGCTGTTTTCTGTAATTTGAGCTGGATGATTTGAAAGGTATTTCCCCATTTAAAAAAAAGAATTTGACATCTGTACCTGTGGATGGAAGAGTGACGGTTCTACCGTAACTCGACCTGCGTGATCGTTTTGGTTGAAAACCTTACGCAAAAATGTGGATGGTAAATATTTAACCATTTCTAATTAAAAATGATGATTTTGCAATGGTGCGCTTTTCTCATATGGCAGTCATCCACAGCATTCTTCACTAAGAGCTACAGTTTGGCTGTTAAAAAGTATAATTTCCCATAATTTGAGAAATTTTCATTCTTATGTGTAATATTACCAGTTAATGCAATTTGGTTACATTTTATCATAGATTCCCGATCCCTTATAGTGTGCAAATCTGTTTAACTATCTGTATTCAGCCATTAATTTCTTAGTTGTAGTTTTTAACGGTTTCTTTAATTACCTGAGTCGGATTTGTTAATACTAATGCTTTGCAATGTCATTTTATTTGGTTTTAGATGCACCTAATTTTTCTCAATATTTGTGCTTTCGTTAAAGGATAAATCCATCATGAAGTTATTTTTTATGACAGTATGATTAATGGGAACTTTAAGTCAGAAAAAACCACAAATGAGCTTACCCATGTAAAACTTGTAGCTTTTTTTCGACTTTTGTTTCTGTGATTCCTACTGGATTTTTACTCCTCACCTCATGTGGTTACTGATTTTTTATTTAAAGATCCATTAAATTGTATAAATTAGCACTTCCCCCTGATCAGCTTTGCTAAATTGTTCTATAATGCTCGCATCAGCAACCTGCTTTGCGTTTTAGTGTTGTTTTTTTTGGTGAACCACAGACCTTCCATGACCTGGCAATTCGCATTACTACGGTTCCATCGTCAGCTGTTTTTTTGCCGAAGTTGACTATCCTGCTGCTGTTTGATTTGTCTCAGTGTTGTCTGACACAATACAGTGCCGACACTTCCCATATGCGTCAAACTGTGATGGTCATGCATTGTTGGCTGCTGGAGGATTTAGGTAACTCTTCTTACCTAAGAAAAATGCAAAGCGGCTCGCTTCTACCCGTTTTACGTGGTCTTATCTTGACTATTTAATTAAGTTTATCAAACATTTGGAAATCACTCAATGTAAGGCGTATTAATGCCACTCTGTCATATCAATATTCAATGGACTTCTACGAAAGCGATTGGTAGTAAATAGTTCTCGCTATTCAATGCAGCATTCGTATACTTTTAAGCATTAAAGAACATGCTATTTTGCCCACATTGATCGTTGGTATTTAAGTTGGTTCTTTATGCTTTTATGTTTCCTGGATTATCTGTTGATAAGGTCATGCCATTTCACCCATAAGCATCTTGAAATAGTTTTGAACTTGGCGATGTTGCTATTGTAGGTTATTTAATGCATTCGGTTAGCTAATGTTCGATGCTTAAGCAGGTGAAACATCTTTTTAGTATGAACGCCTGACACATCCTTATTTTTAGACTACAATCAAACTTTATATAAGCATGATTTATTAGGAACGAGACAGCCTATGTTCGCTTATATTACATCCCTCAAGCCTGTTGATGGCAAAAAAAGTGTCGGCTCATTTTCAAGCTTTGCATCGAAAAATTGGGAAGTTGCACTTTTTGGTGCTTATTTTACCCTCGTAGTTACGGTCGTATTGTGCTTTAGATTGTTTTCGTTTAACAGAGCCCAGATACGATTGCCTACTGGCTTTTTGTAGTAGATGTTATATTCAACTCTTACCAAGTTAACTCCGGGATTGTTGGCAGATACTTGCTGTAAATATTGATGGTTATATAATATTCTGCTGTATTACCTGTTTGATGATATAGCTCTCTTGGCCACTGCCCATAAGATGTATAGAGTGATCATTGAGGGCGTCTACACGTTTACTCCTCCAGCTCTTACAGGTTGATTATACCTTTAAATCTCTTCGGGACTTCTGACGTGATCTCGGTATCACCTTTTGCATTATTCAGAAAACACTGGCTCTCCTGAAAGTTTTTGCGAAACTGTGATTCCGTATTATTTCTAACAGAGTTTTCGGTGAGTGTGCTGATTTGTCTACTCTGTGCAATGCATCTACCTATTTATGTTTGCGTGGGTGGTTCTGCACTTATTCACACTGATGTCATTGAGATAACCAGGTGATGCTGCTGGTGGCGATTGTGGTGGCATACTGGAGGAGGCGAGGAAAGCTAGGGGCCGCGGCGGCGGCGGCCGCTGCAGGTGCAATCTTCGTTCGCATACCGGTCTCTTGTGAAGAGACAGTGCAATCTAGCTCTCTCTTACGTAAACAATCTATTGACTAATAAGTTCACCTGATGCTTTTGTGCTTTCACCTCCACCCAAGTCCGCCCCATTTCGCTCTCCACTTTGAAGTACAGCTTCTTCCATCCTCGCAACAAACACTTCCGAATCCCTGCCGCTTAAAACATCGAACCAACTCGGGGCGCATTTGCTCTGCGAAAATAAGGGATCATATTTAGTTTTTCCTTGATGCCTGCTGTCCATGATTGTGCTCTGTGTTGCACGTAATCCTGAACATTAAATAAGCTCAGAATTTTTCCTGGTTTCTTATGAAACATTGGCATTTAAAGTGTATTGCTTCACCCAAATCTATGTTTTCATTCTTTTTGAACAGTTTAAACATTCATCTGAGAACGGTACTCTAAGGCTATATTAGCTTTAGCTCACGCGTTGCCTTGACAGTATTTTTTCATGTCCTTTCAGTATGAATTTCATAAAGCTACTTGTTTAGTCATAGTTCGTGATTTTCTTGGAGGAAATTTGACAGTTTTACACAAATCGGTCTAATTTGATCACGAATATGTTATTGTTGTTTGGGTTTCAAAGCAAGGTTATATTTGCTCTCAATTGATTTGGCTTCTGGGTAAACAAAACGGGACGTTGGCTTTTGTTTTATTAATCAAAAATTGAATTTGCATCAGTTAATTAATCGGTTTTGTGGGGAAATCATGATTAAAGCTATACTGCGTCTTTGTTTACTTGGTGCAGATTGACTTGGAGATAGTGTAATTTGCTCTTTACAACTTGAAATTGCATGGTTAAATCGCGTGATCGCACTTGCACTAATGTGACTAAGGCTGTACTTGACTTGAAAAGCTTACATTTATTCTAGTTATTTTGTACATTGTTTCGCTCTTACTTCCTTTTTTTGTGGAAATCTTTCTTGAATCTTTGAGTGCTTTAGACCCTAGGCTTGCTCCGCTACTGTGGTTCAGCGTGATTGAAATCTATTTTATGCATTATATTTTCGCTCACATCCATAGGGTGACGCCCACTTGACGGCACCACGTGTTTTAATAGCTACTTTCATGTGTTTGAGCCGTGACATCAAGGATTTCTTTTCTATACGGTCTGTTCTGTCTTGTTTTATATGGAAATTTCAAATGCATTGGGTGCCTTATATTTATACAATTATTGTGACAAAATATGAGCACTAAATTGAACTACGCGTCAATTGCAGCGGTCGTGATTAGTGTCTTGAAACTCTAGTTAAATATTCTTTTATGTGAAAGCGATGCACACATTTTAACCCTTAATTTTACACCTGCAAGAGATTATTTTAAGTGGGGTTGGTGAATGAATGCGCCTTTTCGGAAGTCCTGCCTAACAATCCTTCTGTTGCGTTCATTACTTTCGATGAGTTGGAACGCCTCGAAATATCTAATTTACTGAATGTACACATCTTTAATATTGCGGAAAATTGCCATTCTTGGAAAAACTGCGCCACTCCTGTTGTATTTGAGATGACAAAGCTTGCATCTGCAGCATGAGGTCTCGTGGATGTTTTGTTAAGTGCTGAATGCCCTCTCCACTTTGAGGCGCCCCGAGATTTCGCTCTTTTTCGTGTGGCGCCAACATGCCTATTCGGGAAAATTGCAATGCGTCTTACCACTTTTCTTGCTCTCCAAGTGTGTAGTGGATGGGTGTGTGTGAGCATTGCGCAAGGCCTCTTTCTATTGGTGGGGTGCGTGTGTGCGGGCGTTGTGTGCGTTCAGTCAGCCTTTGAAAGCCATACACGTATAAACACGTGCACTCTTGCATAACACACCAGAGGTTGTGCGCACACACACATACGCGCATTTATTCTCACTTCACCTGGTAGCTCTCTTTTGAATGCGTGTTGAGACCACATCCTCCCATTTGCAATTGAATTCCACGCAACCGATGCCACTGAGACGTGTCGGTAGAAGGGTAAGCCGCGCTGGTCTCCCTCCCCTTGCCAAAGTTCACATTACTTTTTACTATCTCCATTGTCAAAAATCTTTCCTATCGTCAGGATCCCTTTTGTACTCATTACATTTTTTTCTAGAAACGCTGTAGCATTTAATCACTTTTAGGTCACCACAAGCCTTGGCAGACAGTATTAACCTTAATTGGCGTTTAGACGCCCCTTTTCTTTTTAACTTAATAGATTTGATCTTTCTTGTGAATGACAATTATTACAGCTTCATTGTGTATTGACATCGCAATTCGTATTTCAGACATCCATTCAATGTAAAGAAATTTCATCTTTTTTAAGTACGTTTTTAAGGAAACTTCTCATTTTCACCCAGGTTTTTCCTAGCTTCTATTAATTTAACGTGGTGATACTTGCTGTTGCGAGTTCAAGCACTCATTTTCAATTGAATGTGTACTTGTATACATCCATCATGCTTCCTTATTGACCTGCGGTTTCACTAAAAATCTCTTATTCAGCCTGATTTTCATTAATAACTCCACTTCCTTGAAGATAATCCAGCGCCTAGTTTGTCTTTTTCGTAATTGATATGATTACTATTAACTTTGGAATTAATGCAGTGAAAAATAGTCCCTTCATTACTTACATAGGTATAATTTCTCCTTCCCAAGCTACTTCGGCTTTCTATCTTTGAATACGTACGGTTCGACACGGATGAAATAGCTTCAATTTCATCGCTAGATCGGGATTAACGTGGGAGTAGTGCCTGATGCATCGATTAACTTGCCAGTTTATTATTCGCCATCCAGAACTAGTATGTGGGTATTGTTAAAAATGGCTTTGAGTTCTAGTGCTAAAAATGCCATGATAGTGTGCACATCACAGGATGCTTATTTCCAGACAATGTTTCATAGAAGCAGTAGTAATTGCAAAAAAAATGACATTCAACTGTTTAGTCCTCGGATTTACACTCGCATATTTTTGCTTAGTTCAAAGGGTTTTGTAGATTTATCCTTCAAACATCGCCGTGGGAGGTGGCATTGACTTTCATTTTGGGTGAACACTAGAGCGGGGAATATGCCTTGAAGTGCTCATTATTGTCTATCCGAGTGTCCTCGTTGATTTGCAGTTGAGTTGGTGCGTTTTTCGGCAGCGTCGTGATCATCTCAAGACAGAGCGGAGTGCCAACGACTCGGGTCAGATGAAGGGCTGCGCAAAGGTCAACAGCGTCTGCTACGATTTACCAAACAAGTCCACCCCTCCGAGCCTCGAAGATGTCGATGGACGAGGTGAGGGACCGGTGATGGGGCAGCGCCAGGTGGCGAGGGAGGTGTTGGACTCCTCCTGCTGCTGCTGCTGCTGCTACTGTTGCTGCACCTACACCCCCGCTGGCGAGCCTATAATTACTTCCGCTAACTCCCTCCCATCTATCGGGGAGAGCTGCTTGAAAGCCATTCAAGTTCCCTCTGACCTCATAGTTTCCACCGAGGAGGCGCCAAAACCGTCGGAGTACTGTGAGAGACTCCACCTCACCCTTGCCAGCGCCTCTCTTCCCGCCTCTCCGGTCATTCCACCGATCGAGACACATCCTTTCCAAGTGCAGCCACCTCCGATTCTGGCCAGGAGGGTGATTGAGTTGGGTCAACAGAGGGCCAATCTTATGGAGTCCTTTTGTTCTGCAGGAGACATCCAACAGGCCAATAGGGAGAAGGAGTCTTCTGTTGCCGTATGTTACAATGACGAGCCTCCCAAAGCAAAAAATCGAAGCTTACTTGAGCTGTGAGTTGTTACAACCAGTTATTTGATATTCCTGATCTTAATCATGGCCTACATACTCATTGTGAATACAATATTCTATAAAATTATCTGAATTTATATTCTTCAACGTTCGTGAGATTTAGATTGCCGCCCCCGCATAGCATTCATAGTGACTACTTTTTAATTTGCGTTCTTTCATTGGTTGTTTTTGGCGCATCGTATTTTGAAGAAGATGGTTGGGTCTTATTTGTGGCCAGTTCTGCCTCTATGAATACGCGGCAATTTAGATTTTTACCTTGGCCACAACTCGAAAAATTTTATTGGAAAGCGGTTGCACTTCACTTGAATTCATCCCTCTATTTAGGAAAAATATTCTTCTGTAAGTTGTATTAATTCTTTGAGTAAAAATTTGTCAAATCTAAGCTATTTACATTGCCACCCGTTTTCATCAATTAAATCGTCTCAGATAAATGCAAAAGATGCACCTAGCGGTTTTTGATGCAAGTTACCGACGTTAATTTGTTCTCGTTACAGCCACGCAAAAGAGTCCTCACTACTCACGTAATTTATTTTTTAAATATTTTGCCGAAATAATTTACGGAAGTCTATTTTTAACAACCTAACTGCCCCTACTACGCTTTTCCTCTCCTGTTTTGTCGACGAGACCCTTTTTTGTTTGCTACCTCTTGCTTTGATATATTGGTATGATGACTGCCATAGAGGAGGTTTGACGCCCCAGTCCAGCCATCTCAATCTAATAAGAGGCAACTACTTGACCGCTTTCAATTAACAAGTCAAGAGGCGTATTGCAACAATACAGCGCTTATGTTTGCCTTTCTTGCCTCATTCGTTAACACCGCATCTCTTATCTGGTCAGTCAGTCAATTATTTGGACGATCTTTGGCGTTTTCGTGCATATGGAGACACTCGAACCTGTTGTAATACAGCATCTTCTAACGGCTTGAGAAGTTGTATCAGCACGTGCGTGTTAAAATTTGGGTTGACATTTTAACCCATTGAAGTGCATGACTTCACTTGAATTTGAATTCCTCTCTACATTCGCAGTTAGCTTGTTGTTATTTTTTATCAACTAAGTAATGCTTGGTTGTCGTTTCCTTAACCTAGTAAAATAATTGTGCCGCATTTTTAGAGGCTTTGAATTTCATTGGAAGTCTTAATTATGTCTGGATCTCGAGCTATATTGTTATTATTCACAATAGCGTCAAAGGATTTCACTAGGGTTTTTTTCCATCGGTATTTGCTTAAAGCTCATGGATACCGATTTTGTCCTCTGAAACGACTATACTATGACATTGCAGGTTTTTTGAGTTCGCAATGTGAAATACTTAAAAAGCTAAAGTTGTTGTGCATTCGTTTTGCCGCAATTGTTAATACTAATAGCCAATGAATGGTGATAAGAGGCAGTGAAGTGGGGTTGAGTTACACTTATGCCCTTCCATCTAGACGACGGGGCCCACGTGCGGCACTTGTGCTCAATTTGCACAATGGAGCCTCAAGTAATTCCTCGCCACTGCGCAAAGTGCTTTTGGGCGAAATGAATGCTGCGAGCGAGGAGGACAACCGGCTGCTGTTTGCGGAGCACCCTCCGACCAGCTACTCTACCTTTGGGCATGAATCGTCGCTGTGCTTGGCGAGCGATGAGACATTGACTGTCCAACCACCGACAGCGCTCGCCGTCGCTGCTACTGTAGCTGCCAATCTGTCACCGCGCCCCAAGACTGGCGAAGAGCCTAGCCGTATCGCCGATCGTGTTACCCTGCGCACTGCCTCCCTGCTCCTCACTCCAGAGGCTCTCGAAGCCAAACTTGGTCAAGGAGGCGAGGACAGCCTCTATAAGGAGTTTTGGGATATCCCCATGAACTTCGCCAACAAAGCCGACTGTCCTTGGGTAGGAGTGGGTCAAAAAAATCGCTACCACGAGGTTTTACCTCGTAAGTTCTTCGCGTTTCTGCCATCTCTCACACTCTCGGAAATCTGACAGTTGGACTACATAAAATCATCATCATACTTCATTGACCAATATTCTTATTTTAAATTTGAACTTTGTAACGCATTTCCGTCTCCCATTTGTAGATAATAATACGAGGGTTGTTCTTCCTGCTATCAATAATGATGACATGACCAGTTACATCAACGCTAACTACATTCACGTATGTTACTTCTCTTTAAAGTTGATAATTTTTAAATATTACCTCAATTAAATTTATTTTGTCTGTTAACGGCTTAATTGAAATACCCATTATCTTAAACAGGCTTTACAAATCACAAAAAGCCATTGGAAAATCGCCTCGTTTACCTCCAAGCAGACTCTCCCAACACTCTCTTTTTCTTTATCCTCGAGCATTGGCCTAAAGTTATGCGTATGAAATGCTAACCCAAAACAAATCTTTTTTTTTACTTCTGAGGTCAAAATTATTGATGGCATGGCCCAAAATTTACTGATTAGTGGACCATATGTAGCGCTCTGAGTCTTCCCTGAAGTTGTAAAGAGTTGCAGTAGTGTAGCAGAGAATGGGTTGCTAACAATCGGAAAGGTCAAGGGGCTGCTAGCACTTTCCGGTGGCCATACCGCTGAGCAGGAGTACGATCTGCGAAGATTTAAGTACACGTGTAATCAAACACATAGTTAAACAAACTATCAAAGCATTGCACAAACATAATTTAACTAATGTGGTGCATTAATCTTTCTGTTAAGTGTTTTCGAGCTCTCAAAGTCCTTCAAACTAGTCATCATTAAGACCGATGATTAAATGTCAATGTTAAATACCCATGAATTTCAGTGCCATGTAAGGAAGTGTGTGCGTGTCCGTGGTAAAATCAGATTGCACAAAGTAGGGCTGCCGAATCCGCGTCTTTTTGTAGGGCTATCAGGGTCGACCGCGAGCCTTCATCGCAACACAGGGTCCGATGTCGCACACGATCAACGACTTTTGGCGTATGGTTTGGCATACACGTGCGCCTGCTGTCGTGATGCTGACGAAAATATGTGAACAAGATAAGGTGAGCCTTGGCAGCCTACTTAGACTTTTCCTTTGCGGACCTAGCATGGTTTGGTCGGGTGGCATTAGTCCTTACGCTACCTTGAATTAGGGCTACTGTGCTTGGTGTGGGTAATTATTGTATAGAGGGGAGTGTATCTCCGATTGAAATTGTCGCTGTTTTTACAATACTGTTTCAAAGCATGCATGCTTAAACTCTATCGACCCATTGAGGGGTTCAAAGTTTTTTCCAAAAACCAGTAGTAACTTGTGCCTATGTCCACATCATTGAACTCATCAGCCACCCCATAACTGTCTCGGCTGCGGATGTTGATTCAACCATCCTAAATACAATTAAATGTTTGCCTACCAACTCTAGTGCTTCTGCATCTTGTCAGCCACCTGAAATTGTTGAGGATGGAGGACTGTTAGATATTTTCCAATGGAAGATCTTTCAAAAAACTTGTCGGTGATGCTTTGATTCACCCCCATCCTCTGTCATCTGTGAAAAGTGCATATTTTGTACCCGTTTATTTAATAGAAGCATTACCTGTCAAACAAATGGGAAAATAAGTTTGTAAAATACACTGACAGAATTTTATTTCACATTAATTTATTTTGATTGGCATTTAGCACGCCACGTTTCATTATCTGCTCGATATCTTATTGATGTCACTGCCGGATAACCGACCTAGTAAATGGGTCTTACAAATGGGGTTGAAAGTCTGCTCTGTAAGAGGCAGAAATTGTGTTCAGTAGTTTACTCATGAATAGAAAAGGCGTAGTTTCATCCACAGATAACCGAGTGCGTGGCCAAGACGATTGAATCAATTCACTTTTTTCTCATAACGCCCCGTGAGCACAAAGACGAGCATAAATGGAGTTGTATCTGATATTTTGAAGAGTTCGGTGGATCTCCAATTGGCTGAATTACTAATGTTGAAGTGTTGTTGGAAAAATGCCAAAAATAACGTGGCACATGTTCACGTTGAAGTGGAAAAAACCATGCGGGAAGAAACCTAATCGTTCGTGTGCTGTTTATCGCAAACTCTAACAACAATCATACCTTATTTGCAGGCCTGGCCCAAAGGACGATTATTGTGTCAAATCGGTTGAGCCTTTACTTTGGACAATCTGTTCATATAAACAGATAATCAAATAATCATCTCCGGTTGAATTGCTCCGTGTGCATGTACCATCACACAGCATTTTAAAATAATTGACAAAACACTTATAAGAATTTTCTGCCTTCATAAGGGCGTTTGTTAATGCCATTTTGAGCGTAAAGGGATGTAAAAGTAGAATTTCGCATGTGCTTTAAACCAATTAGAGATAATGGATTTTTTCATTCTGATTTTGAGGCTATCTTTGGCTTCAAAAAACGAATGACTCGCAATGTGATGCAGATTTACCTAGGATAAAGGAGCTCTCGGATTTTTACCACATTGGTCGAAGTCACCGAGGTATGACTGTTTTTCCTCTCAGCGAAGTAAATGTGAGCTCTACCTGCCGACATTGAAGCACGAGTCGATTGATCGTGCGATCAACACACCGGTGCGAGCGGACACGGTGCCAGCGGCGGTGTTAGCAACGGCGGGAAAGTCCGCTGAGGACGATGAGACCGCGGCTCGGACGGGTTGCGGTTTGCTGCAGTCGGCCGCCTCTCTACCCACTCCTACTCTCGCTTGCTGGGGTGAGGAGTTCTCACGTACCTGCTCCCCCGTCGGAGCCCAACGAACCTTTGGTAACATTCACGTGCGCGTCATCGCTGTCACTCAGAAGGAAAGCTACACTGAACGCAAACTCATTCTCAGTGTAGGTGTTCCCATCCGTTAACATCCTTCTCTATTTCGACTTGCAGTTTCTTTGACGACATTACCAGTATTCATGCACGTGTGACTTCTAGTCTCCCATGTCTATTCCAGTGAAATCAAGTACGTCTTGGTGGTTTAGAAAATATCATAAAAGGAGTTGAAAGGTGAGGTGTAGACAAAGACTGCGATCCAATTCATTGTCACGGTTAACTAATAATGGTAATTTATGGTCCTGTTTAGCTTTGTTGTTAATAAAAATTCCTTAATCATCCAAGTTATCGTCATATTATGTATTTACTTCACTGTATTGTTTAAACGTCCGCACTAGTAAAACCTATCCTTTAATCATCACTCAGTTGGATGGTGAAGAGCGTCAAGTCACTCACTTTTGGTACATTGGATGGTCTGACCACTCTTCGCCGGAAGCGACTCTTGAGTCTGCGCGCAGTCTTCTCGATCTAGTTCACGAAACGGAGGCCTGCCGCAACCACAATGGCGGTTCTTCACTGCCTTCCACACCGGCGCTGACGCTAGTGCCCAATTCCACTGCCGTTCTGCCACCTGCATCGACGAGGTTGCTCTCACGACAGGCCGCAGAGGAGTGGTCTGATGCCGACTTCGATCTGCATTTCCCGGCCGATTTGTCGCACGAGGAGAGCTCTCCCGTTACCGCGTTAAACTTTTTCTTCTTGAGCGAGTCCGAAGCCTCTGCGCCCAACCCTCTTGGCCCCAGCTCTCGCGCTTGCCGTGCCTCCGATCCTGCACCTATGGCCGCCATAGGTACCGCCGCTGTGGGTCCCGTGGTGGTGCACTGCAGTGCTGGTGTAGGTCGCACTGGCTGTTTCATTGCTCTCTGCATCGGCTGTGAGCAGCTACGGAAAGAGGACAAGGTGGACGTACTAGGTATCGTCTCTCGTCTCCGTCTCGATCGTGGTGGCATGGTGGAGAATTCCGAGCAGTATACCTTCCTCCACGCTGCCCTCTGCATGTACAACGCCATTAGGAGCGGTCGTGAGCTTCCTATCCTGCCGGCAATCACAAATCTGCGCAACCAATTCACTGGACCCCTTAGGTAGCATCCATCGCCCTCCCTCTGCCTGCACTCCCTTTTCTACATGACTGTAAATATGGAGTGCACTTTCTTTGCATTTTACGCGGTGATGTGAATATGGGCACAACTTCAGCGTTTTGTCTGTTTTGCACCTATTCGTCTGACCACCGATGGTTCCTTCCGGCTTTATTTTTGAAAATGGACTTGGGCGTAGCCTGGCCCTTTTCTATAACACAAGGATCCTTTCCTCCTATCCCCTCTCCCTTCCTTTTTCAAACGATCTTTCTAAGATTGATCGATGTAAGTGCTAGTTGATTGTGATCAGTATTTTTTGGTAGACTGCGTGAGTATATGCTTATGTCTATAGGATGGATCTTGTGTATTATAAACTGTGACTAGGCTCATCTTTTTGTAACTGGCAGGGTTAGTGGGCGGCCATTCGAGAGAATTTTTATCGTATGGATTTCCATGAAACACCATTGCTTTACTACCGTGCCTACCTGATTTGTACGTTTATACACGCCAATCTACTTTGATAATTTTATTTTGTGCAAATACAAAGCCTGCTCTCTGCCAGCCTCTTTAAACACGAGCAAATATTTCAGTCCATGGTAATACAGTCAAACCAATTAATCGTTTGAAGTACGAGGTTGTTCCCAGGTGTTTTCTGCAGCAAAAATTAGATAATAGCTTTAAGACGGTTAGCCTCAATTTTGCAGCAATTGCTTTTTTAGGGATTTCTTGAGACAAACTTAGGATTTCTTCATAAGACATACCTTCACAATACAATTTTGTATTGGGTCGTTATTCCCACTAATTACTTTACTTTCCAATTCCTTTGATAATGGTCAATATTTGGGTACCATTGGTGAATACTCGTGGCTCGATGAAGAATTTCGTTGCTTAATGTTAGCAGAAGCGAATCAAGTTATTTAATTTAAAGAATTGCGTCAGCATCTTCTGTCGTTTACAACTGCCCATCGAGAATGCGTACGCACACTCCGTTGCACAGCCTGTGCACGTTATTTAAATCCAAAAGTAGATGATTGATTGGACAGCGCTTTCCTTCGAGCGGGCGGGATCATGCCAGTTACACGTCACTTTATCGAGGGATCTCTGGAGTCTGACTCTAACGTTTACAATGTGACCTGTTCTCTTGACGATCTACCTTCCAAAGAAGTAATTGACCGAATAATTGTCGATTATGTTCTCTATCTCATTGGTAAACGTGGATCTTATGGCCTTCAGTTATTTCCGGGCAAAGAGGGCCGTACAGAGCGGCACGGGACGACCCGGTACATCATGCGATGCCTGGTGGAACGAGCAACCGAATTTGAGAAGGCTTTCCTACCTCGATTTGAGAATCGGCAAGCGCTGCTGTTGAAGAGGCCTGAAAATGCGGAGTTGGATTTTAAGCAGACGCTGGAGGCCATTTGGAGCGATGGACTAGTGAATTGGGGACGTTTTTTGGCCTATATCAGCTTTGTTGGCGCTTACTGCTTGAGCGCACTGAACGCGGGTATGGTTTATGAGATTAGGTTTCTTGTCGAAGCGGCTGTCGATAAGCTTGAAAAACGCATAGGAGGTTGGATAAAAAGGAGTGGAGGCTGGAGGGTTTGCTATTTACAGTTAAAGGACGTTAATCTGCTGGAACTTTAAACGATACGTGGACGCAGCATCGTCAATCCCCCCTCCCACCCCAAATAAAGCCTGATACACTAGGGTCACTGAATAGTCAAATTTTATTTAAATGCAATTTTATTGCGTCTATCCGGTGTCTGCGTGCATGAAAATACTAGGAGCCAGTATGCTTAATCTAGAAGTTCCCTTAGATTACAGCACTTACGTGTTCTCAGGACCTAATAGAAAGCGAAACTGCTCTGCCTTCTTGAAATATAAGCTGCAGGAAAGCTATTGGGTGTGGTGCTTGATCGAAGTCACTTTCTCTAGCGGTAATGGTGGATGCTAAGCATAGAGCGCAAGTATCCTTTTCTACAATCAACTAGAGACTTTGATTTTAAGAATGATGTCTTGCATGACACCGCCTCTTGTCATGGGCGTAAGTACAAAATGATGCATTCTGCAACGTCTTTGCGCCTTAAATGCAACCCCTGATGCGCGGGACTGCATTGCTCACATCCACACGGTACATCGTATGGTAGTGGTCTCGATCCGAAACTTTTTTGTCTGCTTTGAGGCTGCGCGAGCGGGTGACCCGCCTCGCTGGTGGCTGAAAACTCAGATCATTTCTTCCGCCTTATTACTAACTAATGCCCTGAAACTGCCGTTTGGATGGTTTTAACCATTTCAGCTCATTGTGCATAATGCTAACTGCATCGCCATAAGTCGGTCAATGCAAAAATATTATCACAAAGTAGGTGTATATATTACATCGTTTTTAAGGCTACAGAAGATTCAGTTGAAGTTTTCGCTTGGGCAAATGGTGAAAGCTGATAAAATTTGGGTTTTTTAATGCCAGCTGAACAGTTTTTGTATGGGTCATTTAACAGTGCATTTTGCAGGCATATGGAAGCGTAAACGGACATTTTGTCGCCTTAGTTACCCAAGGGCTGATTTGATCAGTACACAAGTCGCATGAGTAGATGAATGAAGAACTTTCAACGCATTCGTTTCGGTCTTCTTTCGTTAAGTTTAGTATGAGGTAGCGTCGAGCAAGGCGAAAAGAAATACCCATTCCCTAAACTTCATTTTACCTTTATTAAATTGTTCTACCTTGTAACTTGTTCACATTCAGATTATGGAAGGTACAACTAACCTGCGATAAGTAACTAAAGTGTCCTTCAAAACACTAGCTGCGCTAGGAATCAAATGAGGCAGAGGAGAAATTAGTCGGTTATTTAAGCTTAAGAAACATAACCATTATCCTTTTATGCAGGATTTTTGCTGAAGTATTTACTTTTGGCCACAACTTCAAAAAGGTTGGGCCCTTGTTTAGTATCAAAGAACCACAATGGAGCAGTTTTTTTGAATATCAGCCATAAGTAACAAGTAATATCACACCAGAGACGGTAACACTTTTAACATTTGACGCTTAAGCTACAGAGGAAATCATGTCATTCGAGTTTTCACCGCGAATACATGGCAAAGCTTTCGGAAATGTTCAGTTTTTATTCACATGGGGGGAACTTTACAATATGCTTTTTGTAATGCGCTGGTTTTCTTACTGCCAGTCCTGACAAAGGGCCACTTTGTGTCTCGGCCATTGTACCTCGGCAGGTGGGCTGGTCTCCAGGCCATGCCAGTAGCCTTCACCACATCTATATGTTAAGTATGTATATATTCTTGCGCCTTCAGGAAAGTCTCGAGGCGCTACATGGGTGGCAGCAAAGAGCAAACTCGATTTTAAAGCACAGCTATCCTGATTTCTACTGCTGGGTGATAAACTTTGGCGTGACGAAAGAAGTATACATTGCCGTGAATGGGAGAATCGGTGACGAACCCAAGGAGAAGAGCTGAAATTGACGTCCACCTTCGGCAACTACCCTAGTCTTGAGTTTCCCTATCGCACCTGCATCAAGATGTCGACAATGTGAACTTGCGATACCTCTTCCACCTACCTACTAGCTGGACAGAGCCCAGATAGATATGATTGGGCAGCTCCGAAGTGAGAACAACGTGACAAGGAGGAAGAGCCGCGAATTCTTTATGTCGTCCTTCCTTACATAAATATGCTTTTAGGCCAGTGTTCCTGCATCTAACTATGGCCACAGGTGATGGCCAGCAGTTCCCAAACCGGGCGAACCTCCAGATTCAGTTAAGCTGCCAAGAGGGCTCAATGACGTTGCGGTCAGCCATATCCTCGTTTGCATAGAAACTTGGTGAATGGTGCGGCCTGCTCGTGGGTGTTTCCTCACATCACCGACAACGTTGTAATGGCTGACTTGGGAGGTTGACGAAGGGTAGCGCTAGAGATGACGCCTAAAAGAGGAGGGGGCTTTGTAATACGTCGGTTTTCTGTTTTACTGTCGGTTTTGGCAAAGGAACAATCTGTCTTGGGCATTGTATCTCGACAGATGAGCTGGCCTCCGCGCCATGCTGGTAGCCCCTACCCCTTCTGTACGTCGAATGTATGCATGTTCTGCCCGGGTATTGTGTACTCTTCGGTCTTCAGGGAAGTCTGGAGGTGCTACATATTTACAAGAGTGGACTGACTATGCGTTTACAGGTCTTATTTTGTCCCCACTGTATATTACTTAATTATATTTCATGCGTCAATCTTAGAAAATCTTGAGTCTAATCTGCAGAAAAGTATCCCTAACTTTGCGGCGAATCTTTGGCAGAAGGTAGTTGTGATGCAAAAGAATATATCCGTGATAGAATTACCAACTTAATGTCGTTCAGCCTCAGCTCTTGATAATAATTACAATATTTAGGTTTTGTTTTATTTTATAAAACCATGTTGTCAAATACTTGTGTAACGTTCGAGTTTCACGTAATCGCGTATTGGTGTTTTACTCAGTCACACGTAGCTGTATGTTACCTAAATAGGAATTTGTAATATTCTGTTATCTATTAAAATTCAATTTATAGATTTGTTTTAACTGGATTCTCCGTAATGTAAAGTAAACTTGGTCGAATAACGAGTGTACTGTTGTTGAAGGCCCTTTTTATCTCAACACCTAACTGTTAAGCTTCGTTAGTAATCGTCTTCCTGTGTTCTACCTCGTGTTTTAGAAGCTTTAGGCTCTGACAGTTGCCAATTCTTTGTAAAGTTTATAAAACGATCGGTCAGTCATCGTATCCTAGGGGTGTTGAATGCGGGCACAGTTTTTCAAAGGACATTTCTCCCTCCAGGTGTTTCTAATAACTTAAACTTCTCATTTAATAAGTATGAAAACATTTTCGGCTCCTAGTCGCCATAATCCTGGGAATCAAACCTTGTTAGCAAGATGTTAGTCTTATTCATGAATTGCATCAGCTCCTTCCTTTTTTGCATTAAATTTGTCAAAGACCATTAGGATTCCCCATCATTTAATCCTAGTTTGAAAGGTTTGCGGGGGCCTT